GGAGTTGTTGGCAGTGCTGGTTTTACCAAGTCAGATATTTTTGCATATGCGAAAAAAGGGCAGCGGATGCAGAGCTGCAGAAGTGGCACCGCAGATGCAGTTAAGTGACCGCAAATGTGGAATCACTGGCAGACCTTTATATTTCAAAGGGTTTGGTTATTTCCTAATTTTTTAAGTTGTGGAGCTCGTGGTTAAAGGCGATTTTTGGGAGACCATTTATCGCAATTGAAGAGGTAAGTAAAGTTTAATTAATTTTGATGATAGATATTGATTACCCATAGATTATTACACCTACTTTATGTGAATTTTAGGTGAATTTTGTAATTTTTGACTATGATTTTGGAGAGTGAAAATTGATGAATTGATGGCCGATTTGAGGTTGGGTTTGGGTGAAACACATATATTTGGACTCATATCGGAATGAGTGTTCGAAATTTGTGAGTTTTGTAAGGTTCAGGGATGCAAGCCCGGGGTTGACTTTTGGGTTGGCTTTGCATAATTAATTCAAAATCTTAGCTATATTGTTTGGGGTTGTTTCCTACGGTGTTATTTGATGATATTAAGTTGTTCTTGACTAGATTCGAGTTGCTCGGAGGCCGATTCGCATGGGAAGTGCTTTTTTGAGTATAGATTCATGCATTTTGAGGTAAGTAACATATCTAAACTTGGAATTGAGGGTAATTATCCATGAGAACTATATTATTTGAGATGTGTTGGGGGTGACACAAATGCTAGATGACGGGCGTGTGTACGTGAGCTGAGGTATTCATGATCCGGGTGGACTTTAGACTATTATCGGACTTGTTTTATTATCATGCCTCATTATATAAGTGTTTTCTCTACTTTTATGATTATTTGAGCTATGATTCATGTTAGAAATCATGTCTAGGCTATGTGCTTATTTGTTTGAAGACATAATTGGGCTATTCTTGCTGTTTTGAGTTGTTTGCCTTGATTATAATCATATCCTCAGTCATTATTCTTCATCCACATGTTATATCTCAGTTAACGTATATTATCCATTCGTCATATCACATGTTGTTGTTGCCTTCTATATATGATACTATTTGGGCTGAGTTCTATGAGATGTGAGCTATTGAGACTTGAGTGATTGATGACTGATGTGGGTCATAGAGCCGTGTTGTGAGTTATATTTGGATCGGATTGCACACAGCAATAGATTGATATTTAGATCGGGTTGCATGCCATAACGAATTGATATTTGGATCAGGTTACATGCCGCAATGGTTATACTAATTATTGATTAGTGCTTGGGCCAGGATTTGCCCCTCTGGAGTCCGATATTACAGTGAGCGCCGGAACAGTAATAGATATGTGCTCTTGTGAGGGGAATTTGTACCAGGCACCTGTGCACTGCTGAGTGTGGTTGTGTGTGTGATAGTGAGGGGCACTTACCAGGCACCGTGAGCATGCTGAGTGTGGTTACATTTGATTGTTTCACTATGATGATATTGACTTGACATGTAGGCATAGAGATGTATTTTCCTCATGCTAGCTGGTAAGTGAAATGTCTTACCTGAGTTGGGCTTTGATTGTTATACTTTAAAAACATGTCTAAATTTTCGTAATTATGAACGAGCCGAACATGGTATCTTTGATTTATTTACTTTTTTGTCTTCATTATATCCTAAGTTGTTATTGATTAATGATGTTGGACACTGGCTTTTTTTCTGAGCTCGTCATTGCTTTCAGCCCAAGGTTAGGTGTGTTACTTATTAAGTACATGGGGTCCGTTGTACTCATACTACCCTCTGCACTTCATGTGCAGATCCAGGTACTTCCAAGCGCGGTGATTGCTAGAGTTACTTTGGTACCAGCTTGTGGAGACTACGAGGTAGCTACTATGTTGTTCGCAGACCTTGAAGTTCTATTTCATTTATTTCCAGTATTACTGTGCTATCATTCAGACAGTTTTATTGAGGATTTAGCCATGTATTTTGAGATTTTATAGTGCTCATGTACTCGTTGACATCAAATCTTTGGATTGGTTGTAGTTGCGATATTGTTGTAATTCTCATAAATTTCATGATATTTTTGTTGCTGAGCTTATTAATTTTCGTCTTTTTGAATTCATTGTTATTGTGAAACTGTTGGCTTGCCTAGCAAGTAGTGTTAGGCGCCGTCGTGGCCTCAAGTGGGAGTTTGGGTCGTGACAAGTTGGTATTAGAGCACTGGGTTTCCTAGGTCTCACGAATCCTGAGCAAGTTTAGTAGAGTCTTGCGAATCGGTGCGGAGACGTCTGTACTTATCTTCGAGAGGCTATTGAACTATTAGGAAAATTCACTTTATTGCATCCTTGTCATGCAGATTTGTTAATTCCGAAGTCTAAGCCTTTACTCTTCTATTCTCTCATAAATGGTGAGTACACATTCAGCTAATCAGGCACAACTTCCACCAGTCAGGGCCGCTAGAGGCCATGGATGAGGTAGAGGCTGGGGTGGGGCTCGCACTATAGCTAGAGCAGCACCAGTGGAGCCACTAGTTGCTACGATGGAGGAGCAGGTTCCGGACATTGTCGATCCAGTGAGACCAACTCAGACACCGGTGATGCCTATTGCTATACCTGGTCTTCAGGAAACTTTGGCTCAAATCTTGAGTGTGTACATGATCTTGGCTTAAGCGGGCATGATACTAGTTGCACTATCTATTGTGTTGGCTAGGGAAGGATTACAGACTCCTGCTGCCCGTACACCGGAGCAACTAGCTCAGGGTTATCAGATACTAGAGGTGCTGCCAGTTCAGCCAGTTGTTGCTGCTCGGGCTGAGGCTGGTCCATCTATTTCCCTTTAGGAATAAAAGAGGTTGGAGCGATTTAAGAGTCATGATCCTCCCGAGTTCAGTAGAGGAGAGTCATAGGATGCTCATGGTTTTCTGGATCGGTGTCATCAGATTAATTGCACAACGGGTATTGTGGACACTAGTGGAGTTGCCTTTACTACTTTTCAAATGATAGGGACAACCTATAGATGGTGGCAGACTTATAAGTCAGGTAGGCCAGCTAACGCAACACCACTTACATGGCATCAGTTCTCAGTTCTCTGCTTAGAGACGTTTGTTCCACAGACTTGTAGAGAGGAGCTTCATAGGGAGTTCGAGCAACTATGTTAGGGGAATATGACTATAACCCAATATGAGATGATATTTGTGGATTTGGCACGTCATACAGCATGGTTGGTTCCCACTGAGAGAGGGGATGAGGAGGTTCATTGATGGCCTCAACTATGATTTACATTACAGTTTGGCTCAAAAGGCTGAGACGAATGCTAGGTTTGACCAGGTGGTTGAGATTGCTAGGCGCTTGGAGCATGTTTGCTGGCTTGAACGAGAGGAGTGGAAGGCCAAGAGGCCCCGTGGTTCAGGTGGTTTTGGTAGCACCTCATATGGAGGTTAGTCATATCACAAGAAAGGTCATCATTTTAGGTCCGCTCAGACAACTCGTCAGATTCCTCGTGGTTCTTCAGCTATTTACAACTTATATAGTGCTAGCCCAATTCAGACATCATTCAGTGCACTCCAGCTCAGATATCATACCGCACTCTATCAGTTCGGGGTTCATCAGTATCGGGTTCTTCCAGCGATTATTCTGGTTCATGGGGTCTGATTCAGGCCCCACAATCATCCGGAGTTCGAAGTTGCTATGAGTGTGGGGGGTTGGGGCATGTGAGTAGGTATTGCTCATGTCTTCTCAGAGGTCCCATACAGTAGGGAGGTCAGACTATGACTCTCGCACCAGTTGCTACACCACCTGCTCAGCCAGCTCGGGGTGGAGGTCGTACGGGAAGAGGTCACCCTAGAGGGGGAGGTCAGTCAGACAGTGGTCAGGCCCGTTGCTATGCATTTCCTGCCAAGCCATAGGTAGTTGCTTCCGATGCCATGATAACATGTATTGTTTCTGCATGCTACAAATATGCTTCAATGTTATTTGACCCTAGTTCCACTTATTCGTATATGTCCTCATACTTTGCTCGTTATTTGGATATGCCTAATAATTTTTTAGATATTCCGGTTTATGTATCTACGGCGGTGGGTAATTCTATTATGGTGGACCATGTATATCGATATTGTGTGGTAGTCATTGGGGGTTATGAAACCAGAGTTGATCTTTTAATGCTTAGTATAAAAAATTTTGATGTGATTTTGGGCATGGATTGGTTGTCACCATATCACGCTATTCTTGATTGTCACGCTAAGACCGTGACACTGGCTATGCCGGGATTATCGAGGTTGGAGTCGAGAGGCTCCCTGGATCATGTTCCTAGTAGAGTTATTTCATATTTAAAGGCTCAATGGATGGTTGAGAAGGGGTGCGCGGCATACTTAGTCTTTGTGAGGGATGTTAATGCTTATACTCCTACCGTTACGTCAGTTCTGGTAGTAAGAGAGTTTCCAGATGTGTTTCCATCATATCAACCGAACATGCCGCCCGATAAGGATATTGATTTTGGTATTGAATTGGTGCTGGGAACTCAACCCATATCATCAGTAGAGTTGAAGGAAATAAAGAAACATCTTCAGGAGTTGCTTGATAAGGGTTTCATAAGACCGAGGATGTGTATTGACTATAGGCAGTTGAACAAGGTTACTATGAAGAACAAGTACCCACTACCCTGTATTAATCATTTATTTGATCAGCTTCAGGGTGCTAGGGTATTCTCGAAAATTGATTTGAGATCGCGGTATTATCAGTTGAATATCCATGCTTAAAATACCCCGAAGACGGCATTCAAGACCCGTTATGGTCACTATGAGTTTCTGGTGAAGCTTTTGGGCTGACCAATGCCCCAACAACTTTTATGCACCTGATGAACAATGTATTTCAGCCCTATATTGATTCCTTCATCATAGTTTTTATCAATGATATATTGGTATATTCTCGCAGTTGGGAGGATTATTAGCAACACTTGAGGATCGTGCTGCATACTTTGAGGGAGAAGAAGCTATATGCTAAATTCTCCAAGTGTGAGTTTTAGTTAGACTCCATGGCTTTCTTAGGCCATGTGGTGTCCGTTAAGGGCATTAAGGTGGATCCGAAAAAGATTGAGGTAGTTCATAGTTGGCCCAAATCGTGTTCTGCCACTGAGATCCGGAGTTTCCGTGGGTTAGCTGGGTATTATCGCCATTTTTTGGAGAGGTTTTCATCTATAGCAACCCCATTGACTAGTTTGATGCAAAAGGGTTTCCCATTCAGGTGGTTTGATGAGTGTGAGGAGAGATTTCAAAAGCTCAAGACTGCCTTGACTGTAACTCAAATTCTAGTTTTACCTTTATGATCGGGTTCTTATAAATTCTATTATGATGCTTCACGAATTGGCATTAAATGTGTGTTATTGCAGGAGTGTATAGTGATTGCTTATGCTTCACGTCAATTGAAACACCATGAGAAGAACTACGAGTGCACAATTTGGAGTTGGCAGCCATTTTTCACTCGCTTAATATTTGGCGGCACTATCTTTATGGCGTATCTTGTGAGGTGTTCACAGATCACAGGAGTCTCCAACACTTATTCAAAAAACAAAATCTGAACTTAAGGAAACAGAGGTAGTTAGAGCTATTAAAGGATATGATATCACAATTCTTTATCACCCGAGGAAGGCCAATGTGGTGGTTGATGCTTTGAGTATGAAGGCTGAGAGTATAGGGAGTCTTGCTTATATATTAGTTGGGGAGAGACCGTTAGCATTGGATTTTCAGGATTTGGATAATCGATTCATGAGATTGGATATTTTGGAGTCCAACATAGTTCTGCTTGTGTTGTATCACAGTCGTCCTTGTTTGAGCGCATCAAGGAACGTCAGTGTGATGATCCTCACTTGCTTGTCCTGAAGGACACTGTGCAATGCGGTGATGTCAAGGAGGTTACTATTGGTGATGATGGAGTATTAGGAGTGCAGGGTCATATATGTGTTCTGAATGTGGATGGGTTATGAGAGTTGATACTTGAAGAGGCCCATGGTTTGTAGTATTCCATTCATCTGGGTGCCGCAAAGATTTACCAAGATTTGAGGCAACACTATTAGTGGCAGAGTATTAAGAAAGATATTGTTGAGCATGTTTCTAGATGTTTGAACTGTCAACAAGTGTAGTACGAGTATCAGAGACCTGATGGTTTGCTCTAGAGGCTTGATATTCCGAAGTGGAAGTGGGAGCGTATCATGATAGATTTCATAGTTGGACTTCCACGGAACTTTAGGAGATTTGATGTAGTGTGGGTTATTGTGGACAGACTGACCAAGGCTGCACATTTTATTCTAGTCATGACCACCTACTCTTCAGAGTAGCTGGCTCAGATTTATCTTTGTGAGATTGTTTGCCTTTATGGTGTGCCCGTGTCTATTATCTCGGATGGAGGCACTTAGTTCACATCGCATTTTTGGAGAGCAGTGCAGCGAGAGTTGGGCACACAGGCCGAGCTGAGTATACCATTTCATCCCTAGACAGACGGGTAGTCTGAGCGCACTATTCAGATTTTGGAGAACATGTTACGTGCCTGTGTCATTGATTTTGGAGGTTTATAGGATCAGTTTCTTTCATTAGCCGAGTTCGCCTACAACAACATCTATCAGTCAAGTATCTAGATGGCTCTTTATGAGGCTTATATGGAACGCGATGTCATTCTCCGATTGGTTGGTTTGATCTTGGGGATGCTAGGTTGTTGGTCACTAATTTGCTCTGAGATGCTTTGGAGAAGGTAAAGTTGATTCAGGAGCGGTTTCGTACAACACAGTCTTGGTAGAAGAGTTATGCTGACAGGAAGGCTTGTGATGTTTCATATATGGTGGGTGAGAAGGTTCTACTCAGAGTTTCGCCCATGAAGGGTGTGATGAGGTTCGGGAAGAAGGGCAAGTTGAGCCTTATGTATATTGGTCCTTTTGATGAGCTTAAGAGAGTGTGAGAGGTGACCTATAGATTTGCCTTACCACATAGTCTATTAGGAGTTCACCCGATGTTTCATGTTCCTATGCTCCAAAAGTATCATGGAGATCCGTCTCATGTTTTGGACTTCAGCACAGTGCAGTTGGATGAGGATTTGACTTATCATGTGGAGCCGGTGGCCATTTTGGATCGACAGGTTCAAAAGTTAAGGTCGAAGAATATAACATTGGTAAAGGTTCATTGGAGAGGTCATCCGGTTGAGGATGCAACTTGGGAGACCGAGCAGGAGATGCAGATAAGATATCCTCACCTTTTTGAGACCCCATGTATGATTCTAGACCCGTTCGAGGACGAATATTTATTTAAGAGGGGGAGAATGTAATGACCCGGCAGGTCATTTTGAATATTTTAGCCCTGTTTGATTCTTTTCATATGTTTAATTGTGATTACATGACTTACCGGGGTGGTTGGTTTGGTTTCGAGGAGGTCTTGGGGTGAATTGGGACATTTAGTCCCAATATTGGAATCTTAAGTTGTAAGACTTCACCGGAGTTTGACTTTTCTGTAGACGACTTTGGAATGATGTTTTGATAGTTCTTATAGCTTCGTAAGGTGATTTTGGACCTAGGCTTATGTTTGGATTTGGATTTGGAGGTTCGTGGGTTGATTCACTGCTTTATTGCAAAAGTTGGAAAGTTGAAGGTTTGGAAGGTTCATCGATTTGACTGGGAGTTGACTTTGTTGATATCAGGTTCGGATTGTGGTTCAAGGAGTCGGAATAGGTCCGTGGTGTCATTTGGTACCTGTTATCAAAATTTGAGATCATTCCGAGTTGATTGAATATGGTTCGACATGAGTTTTAGAAGTTGAAAGTTCATTAGGCTTGAATTGATGTGATGTTCATGGTTAAGATGTTATTTTATGTGATTTGAGGTCTCGAGTAAGTTCGTGTTATGTTTTGGGATTGGTTGCAGTGATTGGACGGGATCCCGAGGACCTTAGATCATTTGTGGAGTTGTTGGCAGTACTGGTTTTACTGAGTTTGATGTTTTCGCATATGCGAAAAAGGGCCGTAGATGCGGACCTACAATATCATGACCCAAGATCACGTGATTGGTACCCTACACACTACCCATCCTAAGTGAACCAAACCTTATGATGCACCGAAATTATATACATGAAAATCACTTTAACTGCGGAAGCTCTTTGAAAATCATATATATTTTCAAGTTAAATGATGGAATATTTTCCAATTATTTAATACATGAAATCTCTCATAATCATAACAATGAGACTAAGTAAAATAAATATCTTTCCATGCATGTCGCGTACAACCCCATTACTACAATTCTTCACAACTATCTATGGAGCTTCTATACCAAAGAGTAAAACTGAAAACTTGGGTTAATACCCGACTAATATAAAATAAGAAAACAACATGATAGCTACCACATAATAGGAGTGGTGCCTCACTATATACCTCGGAAAGATAGTCATCCTAGCCCTGTTCGTATACCACGTATCACACGTCATCTTGAAACATGTAAAGTAAGTGGGGCCTTGGAGAGGAGTCTCTGAGGACTGAATACACCACCACGGTACTCAATAAGTGTCATAGAATCTCTCTAACTGAAGTTCCTGAGACAAGATTTTACAAAAAAACTATGCAACCAATATTTGATATAAAGTGATAAACAATTATATAAATCATGCTCTTTATCATTTTAAATTAAAAGACAATTTAAATGTAAACCATGATATAAGTTTTTAGAACATTTATATCAATCAAAAATTTCAATAAAAATCATATAAACCGCATTTCAATTGCATAAATCACTAAACTTTGTTTGGCTCCTTAGGCCTAAACATAAGAAAATCATTATCCTTCACCAGGAGTACTATATAGACACCGACATAATAACAAATCACTAGGTGATCAACCTAGCAACAAGTATTTGACCCTACTTGGCTAGGCGGTTTCCCGTAGTGTCGTACGAGTCAGCTTAAACTCATTACTTTAAGTAATGATCATTTGCCCTCTCAATGGGGTAATTTATCCCACAAACTTTGGCTTAGTCTTGGAATGCATCCCTACACCAGCACATGTTTTTCCATGGTAATGAACTTAATATTCGAACCAATCTCGATGGTCTCCACTAGTAACTCCCAAAGCATTGTTTTAGTCAATTCTACTAGGACTTATGCCTAGGGTTGGTTTTTATAAATATGAAATCAAGAATTACACCATAGGAGGGGGACATGAACCTTACCTCCAAACCTATGGTGCATAGACAATTGATTGTCCAAAAAAGACAATCAATTGAATCCTGTACAGTGAGTGAAATTAGACCTATAAACTGGTACCATATGCCTTTCCATACTGGGTAGGCCAATGGACACCAAAAACTAAAATAATCTAGGTCAACTATGCAGAAAGAATGGAAGGACTCCTTCCATTTACAGGAGAAACTATATCAAAAGAATGGATAGACTATCCATAAGTGAATTGACAAAACCCAAGTATACAACCAAGAATGGGGAATAGTTCTATGATACCAAGTGTCTATCTTCATCATAGATTTACCATTGCCAAGAAAGAAAGCCGAGATGAAAAGAAATATATAAAAGTCCAAAAAGGAAAGAGCAATGATTTGTCTATGTATGATGTCACTGACAGAAGAGATGGATTACTGCATTGGTGACTGTAGCTACCAGTTGTAGAACTTCTGGTGTATCCATGAACATCTCTCCATAGTGTGTTCATGTATCATTTGAACCAATGCACTGAAGAGGGCATGAGAAGATGCTGAAGGAAGTGAACATGTGTAGTGAATTCTGTATCTAGAGTATGGAGAGGAGGCCACCTGGGATATGCGTGTTGCTATAACATAGTGTTCATGTGGGTTTGAACCCCTAACTATATTCCCAAAGAACCTCTTAGTGGTGTATAAATGTGATGTGTGTGCCTGTATAGCATGATCAGATGGACATGTCCAATAAATTTGATGCATTTCCAATAGATTGAGCATCTGGGATATTGATACCACACATTGAGAGTGCATCAAAATTTTATACCTATATAATATACCTGGAAAATACAACTAATAAGTTAGTAGTAAAAGATCACCATTGTCCTTCTTCCTGGGAAGAAAGACTATGGCACTACAGTCAGTGATGAAAGATTTTCGCAGGCTTTGGGCATTACTGCCCTGAGACCTGTTAGTGAGGAAGTAGTGTAGAGCTCTTAGGTTTTTGTGGATTCTGAGAGCTGGTGATGGTTGTAGTTTATAGATGGGGAGAAAGGAAATGCTACTGGAAGATGTGTGGTGATTTAGTTGTGGCTGGTAGTCTGTGTGAGAATAGATGTGTGTCGAGTCTCAGTTTAGAGATGGGAGCTGCTGCATTTTAAGCTCTATGGTGTAGTGTCTGTGTTGAGTAATTGGGTATTTGAGAGTTTTCAATCTGCTAATACCCTGTTCTAATGTCAAGAAGAAACCCGGGCACATAGTATTGACTATCCAGTTCCAACTGCATTGCATTAGGTATGCCTGACTATGTGTGCATGAGGTATAGCACACTTTCCACTCCTGACCTTCCCTCAGTAGAATGAGCTTTAAGAATGCTAATACCACACACTGAGTGTAGGTCAAGAGGTGGAATAGACCATAAGAACTAGTACCTGCAAAATGGAAAACAGAATTAGTGAAATAGATTCATAGCCTAATAGCTTCAAATGATCTATTTTTATCAAATCATGATTATTCATAGCCAATCCAAACCATTTAAACAATATCAAAAGAATAACTTATTTCATGTTAAAGCCTTTAGCAATTTAACATCAATCTTTTAAAGATACAATAAGTGGTACTCTATTGTTCAAATTTCAGAAGACTTAAGTTTTAATAAAACTTAAAATGTTTTCCTTAAGTGTCATCTTGCAAATAAGTTTTGAAAATAAGATTCTTGTAAAATCATATGACACTTCATAAGTAACAAACATAGAAACACATGGTGAGATCCTTCCCCCTTGTCCCCACAAGAATAGATGCACATT